CCCCCGCATCCCTGTCCCGCACCCCAGGGACACAGAGCGGGCTCCCGCGTCCTGGGAGAACCTGAGCTCAGCAGCTCTCCCGCACACAAATACGGGCCTCGTGATGCCACCTCCAGGCGGGCATTCCGGTGATGCTCCAGGACGAGGAGCGATGGCTGTAAACTGAACCATGAGAATTTCTAAAGCACGAAAATTTCTAAAACATGAGAATTTCCACCCCGACATGAGGAAGAGCTGCTTCATATGAGGGTGGCAGAGTAGGGAGGTCGTGGGGTCCCTCTCTGGGGACAGCCCAAACCCGCTCCTGTGTCACCTGCTCCAGATGACCCTGCCTGGGCAGGGGTTGGAATGGCGATCTCCAAAGGTCCCTGCCAACCTCGACAATTCTGTCATTGTGTGTCCTCCAGCCCCTGGGGCTGCTGATAAAAATCAAAGAAGAGGGATTAGATAAATTAGATCTGGATATTTTCTTTCTTACTCACAGTCAGCAGAGGGCATTGGCTCTGCAGCTTCCCTGGGAAAAGGAAGAGGAGAGCACTGAAGTAACTCCAAGTATTTGTCATTAATTTTATAGAGACTCTGCAATTAGGGATCACCCAAGGCAGGATGCGCAGCCCCGGGTGGGTTTGAGGCAGCTCGCAGTGTCACCCAGAGATGCACGCCAGCATCTCACCCAACCCGAGATGCTGACACACCTTTCATCCTGTGCTGCCCTTCTCCAGGCTGTCACACGTGTGCTGGGCAGGCTTTGCCTTCTCAGCCAGCCCTCCACAAGCCTGGGACTACCGGCGTGCCCGGTATCCCATCCCTGGGAATTTGGGGAAGGAGATAAAGAGATCTGTGTGAAGCACTAGATGGTGCTGCGAGCACACAGACACACAAAGCGGAATCTTTCCTCTTGCTGATCGCTCTCTCCAGCAGATCCAGACCAAACACCAGCGGTTCTGAGGCAGATCAGCGCGTTTGGTCCCCCTGGGGAAAGATGGGGAGAAAATTCCATTCTGTGTCATTCACATTCTCCAAACAGACGCATAATTCTCCCTCTCCCAGGAGAAGCACAGAGCGAAGAAGAGAGAACAATTCTTATCTCTGTTCACTGCTCCTGTTGTTTGGCACCTGTGGAATGGGTTATGGAGATTATTTACCCAAAGTGGTTTGTTAACTGGACACGGGTGAAAGTTGGTTTGAGTGATTAGCCAATCACCCAAAGCTGTGTCCTGGCTGTCCCAGACAGTCATGGGTTTTTCTTTGGTATAGAATCTCTTTTGTATGTAATTATCTCTTTAGTATGTAATTTAGGATAGTATTAGTGTAATATAACATAGCTTAATAAAGCAATTTTTCAGCCTTCTGAAATCATGGAGTCAGAGCACATTATTGCCAGTGCCTGCTTTTATTATACCATTCACCTGGAGAGTTCACCTGCATGTCCTGGTGGGTTGCCCCTCACCCTGCCTGGCACCTTGGCCCTGTTTGAAGGTGACCAGAAGGGAGGTGTGGAGTGGCATTCACCTCGTTCAGCAGAACTGCAAGGGCATCCTGGAGGAAATCAAATAAACAATTAAGGGTTATAAATAATAAGGCTAAAATTATAAATAAATAAATATTAAAAAATAATAAGTACTAAATATTAAGGACAATAAAAAATTAAGAGTTGACAGGGAAGAGTTATCCTAAGTGAAGTCAAGGGACTGTTTAACCCTGATCCTGCCTCTGTGAGGAGCTGACATAAGAAAGGCCACACAACCAATGCTTGATCTTCCAAATGTTTCCCAGCCTTGTGAGATTTGTGGCTCAGGGATTTCCTGCGTGCCATTAGCCTGGGGGGAATTTTTCTCCCAAGGATTTGTCCAGTTCCTCTGAAAAAACTGTTTTGTTTATATGTTATTTATTTATAGTGTTTGAGCAAAAGGTCTGCTTTGCAGGCTTCATCATAAATGTCAGGATAGTTGGAATTTTCTTACAGCCTCTGTTTCTGCAATCTCACCTCTAGGATGCCCCCAGCAATTTCTGTTCACAAGAGGAGAACTGGAGAAACTGGAGAACTCCAGAGGCACAGAAATGGTAAAGAAGAAAAGAATGGCCCAAGAAACCCCAGCCCTGGCAGTTCTGAGTGTCTCAGACTCTGAAATTCAGTGCCAAGCATTCAGGTGCCTGGCTTGTGACTTCAGGGCACCACAAAGAATTACATTTTCTTTTCTGGGCCATTTTGCATCAGATTCCTCTGAAAGGCAGAGGAAATAGGTCAAACTCTGGTACCGGGCAGACATAAATTATCTCTTCAGTGTCACAGGACCAAATGCTTCCCCTCAGATTGTGCTGACAGAGCCCTGAGCACTGAATCTCCCAGACTGTCTTGCTTTGGGCTCCATTTCTGACACATGCCTGAGATGTCTCCCTGCAAGATTTCCACCCTGCTAAGTGTCTCCAAAAGGGTGAGAAAACGTTGGACACACACAGGGAACACGATTGCTTACAGCCTGTGGGGGAGTCAGAACTGTTCTTGCACAAGCCTGGGTTTGTTGCTGCAGGAGACTTTACATTATCTGGTATTTGGTATCTGATAGCTCGAGAGTTTTGTAACAAAAACCCCTTCAGTGCTAGGTTATGCTGACTGTATTGATGGCCCACTTTTCAATGCCACTGCACATAATCAGTGTGGCTGGGATGGCCCTGTTTGCATCCAGGCTGGAGGCTGCAGGCAGCCACTGCTGTGGCTCAGCTGTGCCTGCTTGCTTATCCCATTGGCATCCCTGAGACTGCACCAGTGTCAGGGAAAGGGACGTGGGATCCTGCACCCCCATCTAACTGAGCATTCTGCTGCCTTTTCTCTCCATGGAATAAATCACAGGGCTCTCTGTCCTGACTGGGGGTTCTAAAATATGTTTTGAATAGCTTAACAACTTCCCCTGGTTCCTCTCTCCTGGATGATCATTAACAGATGCAATCTCTTTGGCTGAATTTGGAGTGTTACTCCTGCAGGGCAGGGGTGCCCAGAGTTGGCCTCCTCCTCAGTCCCCCTAAATAATTTCACATTGCAGACCAGCACAGAGGTCTGTGTGAAGCAGCTCTGATGGTTCCTCTCTTCTTTAGAAAGGTCCCTTAAATAAACCTGCTTTGTCAGCTTTCCAGATGCCCAGGAAAGTAGATGTAGAAAGAGGAGGGGTTCAGAGAAGAGAAACAGCATTTGAGATTGCCTGGGAACATGACTGAGCAGCTCTCTCTCAGGAAAACCAGTGGTGTGACTGCATATCCTGAGTCTAGGGAAGATAATATTCCAAACCATTGGCACAGCCACAGCACTTGCCACAGTTAATACCTGGGTGCTTGCCAGGCTTTGAGGTTATTCACCCTGGCATTATCTCTGTTTTACTGTCCCCATGTGGCAACCGAGACACAAATCACCATGCAATGAAATTAGAGAGTGGGAAATTAAAAAAGGGTAAAAGGAGATTTGTTCTCATGGCAAGTTAATTAAACTAAAGCCGACAGCCAAAGGCAGATGTTGTGGCAAAGTAATGCTGAAAGGAATTGCTTAGAGTTCTCCTAATTGCAAATGTTAAAAGGGACATAAAACAGTGAGCTTTGGAGATAAAGTCCATACCTAATTTATGATGACAGTGAGGAGTCATAACTTGGGGAAGAGATGATCTTCAGCCTCACCAGGGCTCCTTCACTTGAAATGCTCAGCCCAGTGAGCTGGAGGCAGAGGAGCACTTGCTGCATGGGCAGCTGTAGTCCATTCTTGGTTTCTGCTACCTGCCAACAAGAATGAGAAATCGCACCCGAGGAAAAAGCAGAGTCTCCAAAACCCTGAGCCAATCCCCCAGCCATTCAGTCAGCCTTTGGCAGAGCTTGTGAGAAATGATGGCAAACCCCCTCATGGGCTACCTGGCTACCTTTTTTTGTGTGGATTCTGCTTTGTCTCCCAAGCACCATCTTCCCCCTTTGTGGTGCAGTTAATCCTCCTGCCCGTGTGCCTGCCACTGTAAAAGGCTCTGCTGCCAGAGGAAGGAGGCACCAGCTGCAGCACTGAAAGTGCTCAAGAGCAGAAACAAGGAGAGAGATTTGCAAAGTTCATGCTCAGAGATGCGTGTGTGCCAATGCCAAGCTGCAGCCTTGTGGAGGAGTTTAACTAAGGATGGCAGCTTCCCCTGCTGAAGCTGTAATCCCAAACACATGTTGTCCCCACACAGGCTCAAAGCCAGGCTCTGACTCCTGACTAGGGCACCCTAGGGCAGATGCCACATTCCTGGGGTGGCAGCTCCCTGCCCTACCTGTACCATCAGTCTGGGTGTGCTCTGGCCCAGAAGAGCTGCCAAAATACTCATTGGGCAGCACAAGATACCAGCTGGAGGGTCTGTGTGTGGTTCCCAGTTTGGGTCCTTGAAAATGAATAAAGAAAAGCAAAACAGAGGAGCCAGAGGGCTAAAAGGGACAGAGTGGCCATTGAAACTCTCAATAGCACTGTGCTATTGGGGTAAAGAAGAAAATGGCATTTCTGCAGTCCTGTGGGTGCTCTGTGGTAGATTGAGGCTGCACAGGCCCTTTGCAGAGATGCCACTGAAACAAATCCACCTTTGAAATGGGGATTTCTTAGAGCATTCTGTTAAAGAGCAGTGAAACTGCACAAGGAATTGAAACATGTCCAATTAGTGACCCACCAGTCCCCATGATTTATCCAAAATCTAAATCCCATCTGATTTTGATGGAGACAGACAGCTGAGACTTTGATTTCCCAATGAAAACAGCCTTGACTTTGCTTGTACCCACACTGGCTCCTTTTGTCAGGCAAAGCCCTGAGGCATTTGTTGGGTCCTCTGCAGCCCAGGTGAGCAGCAGGATGTTTTTTCTGGTCTTTGAGCATCCATTATGAGACTGATTCCAGTCATTCATGAAAAGCAACAAACGGGTGGTGACAGTGGAGGCTGCACCACCCCATAATTCACCTCCCTTGCCTCTTGCTGAGGAGGTTTCCTGTTACACCAGGCAGAGCTGTCATCATCACTCTCCTTACAGGCTCTCTCTCATTCTCAGCTGCCTTCAGACAGAAATGTCTCCAATTCCAGGAGCTGTGAATGCCCTCTCTCCTCAATTGCCAAAAATCTGCATGGTACTACCTGCCTATAGAGCCCTGGGTTTAGCTAAGAGCTCAGCAGTGGTTACACTATTTGGAAGTGCTAAATATTTCTACCTGAGTCATAACTTGCAAGAAAGTCAATCTAGCTCCTCTGTAACCCACTGCTTTCGGAAAACTCTGAACTTTTTGTAAACGCCACAATAAGCACTGACCACTTACCTAATAAAATTTGCTTTCTGAATTATTTCTCAGCTCTGTTACAATCTCCCAGCTTCATGACAAGAAGTATCTCTGAGTGTGGATTTGATATTGGCAGTCTTCTTTTGAATTGTGTATTTATGATGGGGAATCTCAGCTCTCCTTTGTGACTAATTACTGCTAGGGGATGTCCGGATTAAATGATAATTGTTTTCTTTGTCCTAATAAAAATACACTTTCTAAGTGCATCTGATGCATTCACAAATATACAAAATATTCAGTCCCTAATCTGATCCATTCACAAATATACAAAATACTCAGTCCCCAATCCAGGTAGCTCTCATTTATTCAGGTTTCTGATCCTGAAGACAAATGGGAGAGAGGGGAGGGTGGCAGCAGAGCCCAGGAGCCCTGAGTCTGCCCTCCTCATCCTGGAGAACAATGTCAACACTGAGGAACCACGCTCCAGTGTTGCTCTAATTAGAGCAAACAAGCTACAATCAGATTAATTTTATTTGCACTATGCAAATAAAACTATGCCTAAAACACCGCAGAGCAAAAGCACACAGTGCACTGGTAATAGATGGCAGAAAATAAAGCAAGCAATGATAAAAGCTGTTTGATAAACACATCAGCCTGGCCAAAGGCAACACATTTCAGAGGAAGATGTGATTGGTCTCATAGAGTTGTTTCTAATTAATGGGCAATCACAGCTGGCTCGGACACAGAGCCGAGCCACAAACCTTTGTTATCATTCTTTGCTATTCTATTCTTAGCTGGGCTTCTGGTGAAACCTTTTCTTCTATTCTTTTAGTATAGTTTTAATGTAATAAAATAATAAAATAATAAAATAATAAAATAATAAAATAATAAAATAATAAAATAATAAAATAATAAATCAAGCCTTCTGAAACACGGAGTCAACATTCTCATCTCTTCCCTCATCCTGGAACCCCTGTGAACACGGTCACAGTCCCTGACTTGCCCCAGCACTGCTGGCCATGGTGCAGTGCTGTGGAGGGAGATGCAGGGGACGAGCAGCTCTTGCCCTCCTCGATGCACTGGCTGATGCACAGAAATCACCTTTGGCATTTCCCAAAGTTTGCTGAGCAGGTCCTGCCTACAGGTGCTGTCTCATCCCTGCTTTAGCTCTGCCTGGACATGGGAGTCATTCTCACCTGCCCCAGGGCCAGCTTTGGCAGAGGCCTCGTTGCTATTCTCAGCCTCCTGTGCTGATGCCACGCTCTACAGTTTCACTTCACAAACTGCCTTTGGAAAGGGCTGCCCTCCTTTGCAGTGCCAGCTAACTGCAGGCACCAGCAATCATCAATTTCACTGAAGAGCCAGCAAATCAATGGCCTCTGGGAGAGATCCTGGAGTCCTGTGGTCTTCCCTCTATCGAGGCTGCAAGTGTGGCTGCTCATTTGTTGTTGTGTGCATGCCTATGCCAGTGGCTGCTCATTAAGTGGGACCCACCATCGTTACTGCTGATGGCAAGGAATGCTCAGACCCCCCACGGAACTGAGAGCCTCTAGGACTAAATGGGATGTGATCATTTTCATTATCTCCTTTTCAAGCATCATGAATTCAGTGACCAAAACCAGCAGGGAATGTGGATCAAGGAACTTGCATTTCCTAGCCAAGGGAAAGCTGGGGAAATCAATTAACTAGGGCATGAAATAGTTGTGGCTCTCCCAAAGGAAAATACTGTTTAGCTTAATTGTTCTGCAACTAGTGTTAATGAGTTATCATGACTCATATTTCTATTTACATCCCCAGGAATCAAAATGGGCCAGAGTGTGCCACAGTATGCATCTCAGGACAAAGCAGAAAAAAGGAAAATAAATGTATAGGAGCACTTTGGTTTCTACCAGCTTTCATGAGGCAGAGTTTTCATACTGCTTCTCAATTTTTGGCCTCCTGACACCTCAGAGGTCAGAGCTTCTGAGGTGTCAGGAAAGCTCTGACTGAACTTCCAGCTGCTGCAACAGGTCCTAGTCCTGATGCAGCAAATAATTCTGAGCTTGCTCAAGTCTGCTCTGCCTGTCTGGAGTCAAACACACACTTAACAAGTCTGATGGCTCCTCAAACCTGACACCCAGCACATATTTCCTTCCCAGCTGTGCATCACACACTGTTTATCAAGGTAACTCCAGCACCCAAAAGTGTGAGCATCAGCAGGAGAACAGGGTGCAGCTCTTCAGATACTCCAGAGCACAGTTCCCCTTACTCACAGCTCCTCAAGGTTTCCTCTTTCATGGACATCACTCTCATGATCCCACATTGCTGCCACTGCCATCAGGTGACCAAAGCAGGCAGCCAAATCCAGAGCACAGTGACAGGATTGCAGCCTGTATTCTGGATTTGGCTTTGATTTATCACACCTGCCAGTCCACAAGGGGATCTGCATTCCTCAGGGGATCAGCACTTAACATCACATATCAAATCCACCTGGAAGGACAAAGGGACATCTCAGTCATGACCACCACAAAGTGTTGGGGCACTTAGAGGGTTTTTCAAAAGGAATTTGGACAATAGTATTTGGAAACCTGTCTGGAAAGGTTTCCCTTTGGCTCCTCCCAGTGACAAACCTGGTCTGAATTCACTGATCTGTGCAAAGCTGTGAGCCATGTTTGACTCTCAGATCAAACAGGATTTTTGTACATTTTTGATCCTCAGTGAACCAATGATCTGAGCCAGCAGCTCAGACTCACTCAGCTGGAGTCACAATATCTGAACTCTCAGTCTGGATATGCATCCTGCATCCTCTGCCCATCTTTTTTTCTTCATGTGACACAAACTCTGTTAATTGGGAGTGTTTAGAGAAGATGGAGCCAGACCCTTTGGAGAAGTGTACAGCAGAAGCATGAATGGTGATAGATTTAAAACAAAAAAGAGGTTGTGGTTTTGATAGGAGGAAAAAAGGATTACCATGAGCGTGATGAAGCCAATTGAACAGAGAGGCTGTGGGATCTCCATCCTTGGAGATAACTCAAAATTCAGCTGAATGAGGCCCTAAGCATCCTGCTGCTGCTGGACTAGATTTGAGCAGAGGCCAGCAGTGGTCCCTTTCCATTCACCCCAGCCTGCCACTCTGTTATGAAGCCTCTTAGCAGCACATGGAAAAAAATTGTACTAATTTCCACTTTTTTTTAATGGAACAGCAATTCTTGTGTTCCTGGTGAAGAACTGAGGGGGTAATATGGCATTTGATATGCTACCAAGGAGAAAGAGACATAAACCACATATAAGCCTAGAGATCAAATCCTCTCAGTAGCTGAGCACATGCATTGAGCTTAATGGAATTTGAGGCTGTCCATCGTTTTGTAATATAAGTTTTTAGGAAAGAGAAGCAACATGAGATCCTCTTCACACTAATAATGTGCATGGCAAAATGTCCAGCAGGCTCAGTGAATGCAAGCAGGGATGGGTGCCTCAATTTTCAAGCTCAGCACATGCATAGTGGTGGAGTCTGACAAAATTGTGTGCCAAGTGCTTCACCCCATCCCTTTTTGTATCTAAAACCAGAAAGCTCAAAGGTGCACAGAGGTGGCATTTCCTGAAGGGAAGATGAAATTGCAACCATTTCCCTTCACTTCCCTCCTGGTGGCCTCAGCTGTTCTGGGTGCCTTTTCTGACTTCTAGTGACTTATGCAGAAAAACCTATTTTCACTCTGGGCTTCAAAACCTGCTCAAACTTTTCTTCATCGTGAGCAAAGACACAAACACCAGCTTGTCTCTCTTCTGTCAAGGAACATGCAGTGCCAGACATGAAGCATCAGATTCTTTATTCTCAATTGAGGCTAATTAGTGTAATTAGAAAAGAAAATCCACCGGGTATTTGAAACAGAAATTGCCTGAACTGAGAATCAGAGCAGCATTCCATGAAGGAACTGGACTGCCTGATACAACCCCAGAAGTTTCCAAATGCTTCTTTGGACATTTCATTTTTGGGTGAGGAGGAGAGCCCATTGAAAGCAGCTTCTTCAGCTTGCTTTACAAGCAGAAGGACTCCAATCCTCTAAGAACTTCCAAAAAAACCCGCACACTTGCAGAAAGCTTGGTTCTGCCATTTTGAGCTTGACCCCTGCCCTGATGCTCTTGTGAAAACCACCTATCACTTGTTTTAAAATTTTAAAAGTTTAACAGTAATAAAATGGTTATAAAAATAGTAATATAATTAGAGCAATAAGAATTTGGACAATCAGAGTTAGGACAATAAAGGATAACAAAAAAACAGAGAATGAAAAGCTTTTGGATGCTTTCCTCTTGAAAGCATGGTCACTAACAAAGGATTAACTCTTAAAAGCAATAGCCTGTTGCATATTCAAATATCACATACATGATTCAAAAATTATTTTCAAACAAAAGGTGTTTTCTGGTTATTGTCAACTTCCCTCCACTCATCTTGTAAATCATGGTCAGATTCCATGGAGTCTGCAAGGAGACTGGGTCTTCCCAATAAGGAGGCAATAATTCTTCTCTTTGGGATCTCAGTGTCTTGTTGCTGTTATCTCTGTGCAAAGAATTTCTTGATTATCTCAACTCTTTCTTGAGCTAGTTAAAAAGCATCTTACATAGCATAGTTTCTATTTTAACATTATGTTATAACCTAAAACTATATTTAACACACTACTTGAGAAAATTAATACAGCATAACTTTCTAACATAAGACATATAATATTTATTTTAATATTCGCAAAAAGCCAATCATATAATACACATTTTCACACGCTACCTGTGGATGCTGTGCTCTGTAGGTAATCAAAGCACCACTGGTTGCATCAAACCAAGAGCTCCTATTTCTCCAGCTGGTGAATCTTGTCCACAAAACTTAATTCCAGTGCAGCATTCCTCCTATGGCAGATGCAATGCTTTTGGGAGTGACAAATTATCACCTCTGGCTTTTAGAAGCAGGGGTTTTGGTGTTGGTCATACGAAGAGCAAGATGCTGCAGAGAAACAAAGCTGCAGATAAGGAAGAGGATAAATAGGAGGAGGGTGAAAAGGAACAGAAGAGCAACACAGAAAAAAGAGAACCATGAAGGACAATGCGAGATCCAGAACTGGGCTGCAGAGCAGCACTTCCACACATCCTAGACATAAATTTGAGTCTGGGGCTCAGGCTCCAGTACTTCCTTGAGTTCTGAGAGATCCTCAAGATCTGAGACCTGCATTTATGGCTGGTGGCTGATTTTACAGCAGGCCAAAACAAGCTCCACATCCCACTGCAACCTGACTGTGGAGAAAGATGCCTGTCAGACCAGTGTCCTGAATTGCCAAGCAAATTGTATTCTATTTGCCATCTCCTTGAATGTCACTGCATGACTGATAAGAACTGCAGCTTCCCATTGGGAGATGCTCCGCCCAGAGGGAGGAGCCAACCATTCCTACTGGGTTATAATCTGGAGATTCTGGAACACCAGCACAGCTTCTCCACTGGATTTCCCAGAGGAACAGCAGCTGCCTCTTCTTCCACTGGATCTTCAGAGGAATGCTGCACTCCTTTCTCCAGGATCCCTGCTCCAGCAGAACCACCCTTGACACTCCAGGAGGACTGCAGTGACATTTCCAATGGGACTGCCACCAACACCCTGACCCACAGGGTGTCAGGTTGGGTTCTGACTCTGTCAGTGTTGGTTTGGTTTACTGCATTGTTTATTTTATCTTTTTATTTTCTTCCCTAATAAAGAACTGTGATTCTTGCTCCCATATTTTTGCCCGAGAGCCCCTTAATTTCAAATTTATAACAATTCAGAGGGAGGGGCTTTACATTTTCCATTTCAGGGGAGGCTCCTGCCTTCCTTAGCAGACACCTGTCTTTCCAAACCAAGACACCCAGACAGACAGCTTTTGGCCTGGACACAATTCTTCTCTTCTACTCTCAGATTTTTTTTTTTTTTTTTTTTTTTTTTGTGACATGAAGCTAAATTCCCTTGCTTGATGGTAAAGATCAAATGGATTTGTACTGAACAGAAGGGAGAGGTATTGCATAAGGACTTGTTCCTGTGTTCTTTGATTAGCCTGCCTATTAGCCTTTATCTCAGACTCTTGGAAACACCAGCTTTCTATCAAAAGGAAATGTCACTACTTTAACTAATATACATTTTTATTTCCTTTGCAAGAAGCTCTAATTAACTTTTTTTTTCTCGGTTCAGCACAGCTTTAAAAAGAATATTTAATGTCAGGCATTAAAGTTTCCATATTGGCTTGCAAAGGAAATCTTGACTCACAGAGATTTTCAGCAAGAGAAATAAAAGGCAGACTATGCCTCCCTTTCCTGCCCTGCAGAAGAAAGGATTTGAACCCATTCCACAGGTGATTTTATAACTGAAAGGAGCTCTTTCCATCCAGTCCTTCCTGAAAAACTCCAAGTGATGGGAGAGCTGCCTCCAGCACAAACAACCTCCAGCATCCTCATCTTCCTCTCAAAGAAATGCTGAATCTGGCAGGCCTGTGGCTCTCCCCGGTCCAAAGTCAGGGAAAGCTGCCAAATGCATGCAATCAATGTTTTACATTTTTCCCCAGCTAAATAATTCTCCAGCTTTACAGATCAAGCAAGAGGCATTAAAATTGCATTGCAGCACTGAATGCCAGGCCCTCTGAAACAGAGGGCTTAAAATTGTAACAAATCTGTTGAACACTTGTTTAATTTTGTGTGTCTGCTTAAACTCCCCGACTGCAGACTTCAAGTGTAAGCACATGCTTTGAGAAAAAGCAATTCCAGTATAGCAGAATCAGGGCCATCTGAGGCACTGCTCCCATTCCATAGCAGTTCATGCAATCTCCAGATCTGAGCCATCTCCTGCCACCCCATGGCAGCCTGATGGCTGATGCAAGACCTGTTTGAGAAACATTCTTTTTAACCACTATTAGGGTTATTATTAACATCACAATACAGTTTATAGGAAGGCACAGACTGCCACATGGCAGGAAAGTCAAAAGGATTTTTTTGAGGACTACATTCAACAAGAGTTTGCCAGATGGGAACAGATCCCACTCTCCTACTGATTATCTTGTCCACCTCCACCTTAGTGAGGGAAAGGTCTGAGGTTGTGAGCTGAAAGAAGCTGTAGTAATGCAAAGCAGTACCAGGAGCCAGGCAGCACAGCTGAATAGTCAAGTTTTTGTCAGAATGGGGGCACACAAATGTTAACAGGAATCCCCAAGGCCATATCCCTTTCCCAACCCTGCCTCAGTGTGAACTGGTATTGTGAAGTGTGAAGATTTCCATCTGAGTTAACTTTTTTTTTTTTTAAACACAGCAAACACTGCTTTTATCTAGGGGAATATCTGGTAATCTACTAAGCCATTTTACTGCCTCTGCAAGGAACATTTGAATACAGCTAATTGCTAAAAATAGCCCCAATTTTCAGCAGCAGAGGAGCTGGCAGTTCTTTCAAGCCACATTAAAAATACTGCCTGAGTGTGACTTCAGCAGACATGCTGCTGCTGCCAGAGTGAGTGGGGCTGCCTTGGCCCTGCTTGGGATTTCCTCCAACACATCACTCAGCTCCTGGGTCCCAGGGTGAGCTACCAGGTCTAAAAACGTGACTGCAGTGGCAGCCATGTACCTCATCCTGCCTGTGGCTTCCTCTGTGCAGATCTGCATGTTTCCCACTTTCAGGATGTGAAAAATGTGCATTTTATAATTGGCTTTTCACAAATATTGAAATTAATATTATATGTGTTGTGTTAGAATCAGTGCCAGGCTATGTTGGGACTCTGGAAGGGGTCACGAGTTTTCATTAGTATCTTGCTAAGCCATCTGTCTGTATCCTTTCAAAAATATAATATAATACAATACAATACAATATAATAGAACATAATATAACATGACATGATATGATATAATATGTAATATGATTGAATATAATATAATTGAATATAATCTTGAATATAATATCAAATATAATACAATAACAAATATAATATAATAATTAATTAGCCTTCTAAGAACATGGAGTCAGATTCATCATTCTTTCCTGTCACAGAGAACCCTGGAAATACCACACCAGGGACCAAAGCCTCCCCTCTGACCCTGCACAAAGGCTGAGCTCCAGTGTTGTAGGCACATCACACCATGAAGATAAGCCTGGCCTAGCAGCAGTGTCTACTTACTGAAATATTCTTGAAATATTCCTATTCCTTGCATTGTTCCCAGAAAATCCAATACAGTCTGCCTGGTAAACTTTCTCACATTAGTTGAAATGACATATTGATCACTAATTAAACCTAATGATGGTTATTGCTGCTAGCTGAATGCAGCAGCTGCCCAGCCTGGGTGCTGCAGGAACACAGACAATCCCTGCTCCTGCCTCAAGGACTGCTCCTCCTGATTTAATACACAAAAATACCAGGATTCAAATATTAAAGCTCAGCAGATTAATTCAGTGGTGTTACACTGAGAGTGTAGAGCAGGCAAAAATCACCTCTGCCTCCCCATTGCAGCACACACAGTGGCTGCTCTCACTCTCTCCCTCCACACTCTGGCAGGGCAGCAGCCTTTCCTTTTCTGGTCATACCCTAGACACATGGCAGTGGTGCCAGGAATGTGACATTCCCACTGCTGCCACATGGATACAAAATGCCTTGTAAATGGGTTTGGGCTGACCAACTCCCTTAGCCCCATAGAGCCAAGAGTACAGGCACAACATCTGTGGTGTTTGGGAGTGGATAGGAGTGTCCCAGCTCAGCTGGGGCTGGCAGGGCTCAGGAGCATTGCCATGTGCTTCAGGGCACAGGCAGATGAGCTTCCTCCCAAAATAACACACATGCGTCATCACACGTGCACACATTGAGCAGCTCTCAGTGTTTCCCCTCAGCGGAGATTTGTTTTGTCCATGTTGCCAAAATTCCTTCTCCCTAAAAATACCCACCCTTTCCAAGCCCATCCCATGCGCTGGGATGTGTCCTGGGTGCCAGGGCAGCTTGGCAGGGAGCAGCACCAGCAGAGCTCTGTCCCTGTCACTCCAGCATTGCCTCTCTGCACACATCTGGGAGGGTCAGGTTCTGCTTGCTGAACTCCACAGTGCACCCTCACAAAGCATCTTCTGCAGTTAATGCAAAGAAATGTGACGATTAGAGAAGAATCCATTAATAAATTAACACAATCCATCAGAGCATCTCAAAGCATTTCTGTCAACACACACGCTTCATCCATCCCCCACCAGCTGAGCGAGGCAGAAACGAACAGGATCTCCTTGGCAAAGAGGGAAAACTGGAGCCAAGAGCCCCCTGCATGCCAGGGACAGAAATCAGGACCCCCCAAGCCTCTGTCCTTTGCTCCAGCCCCTGGCTGAGCTTCCCCCTGGTGACAAATCAGCTGCACCCATGCTAGGGGAGATGACAAAGTTATATAAGAGGGAAGGAGCAGGATTCTGGGTGTGGGGGAGAAAGATCTCCTGGGGAGAGGGGACATTTTGCATCAATCACTCCCTCCCCCACAGCCACCCACCAGCTGCAGGGATTTTTCAAAGCACTAAAGATGATACTGTTTGGTACATTTTAATCAGTTTCTTACTTACCTCGTGGAATTGTGGTAGAAACGTTGCTTTAAAAAAATAAAATAAATAAATGTAGAGGCGCAGCAATTTGGGGCTTTGTAACCTGCAAAGGAGCAACACTTTTGAGCGGCCTGGCCACTTCAGACACCTCAGCAGCTGCCTGATATCTCATCTCACCCTGCCGGACAATAGCTGAGTCAAGCACTGGGGCTGCCCTTGAAGAGTGCAAAGTGAAGCAGAAAAGCCTGGGAAAGAGCCCTGGCAAGAGGAGATGACGTGCTGAGATACACGCTTTGCTAAAGGAAGGGAGGAAAACCAAACTCTGCCCACGAAGGAAGAGAGCATGCTGGAAATGAGCAATAGGAATGGTGCTCTGATCCCAGTTTGGCACTCTAGAAAAATCCTTTGTGCTACAGGTGAATTTGTCTCCTTTAAAAGAACACTGGAGATCTTTGTCCCTGT